TCTCGTTTTCTTGAATTAGAATAAGGGGCGAGGACAAATAACGGTTCTGCTTTTTTTACGCACTCGTTTAATTTCAACGTTTAATTAACACACATACTCATATCAAGATGCTTGTCACATCTGCAAACTCACGTGCAGGAGGCGACGCAAAAAGCTCAAATAATGACGCCGAATTGTGTCATATTTTTTTCTAATATTTCAATGTAAAGTTTTGGGTACGTATCTTCATTTACTACCCTAAAATTGTACAAATCATTAGGCTGCTAACGAATAACTAAAAAAAAGAAATAGATTAAAATATGTGATACGTGCGAATAAATATAATGTGTGACCCTAACCATGTCCCTTAGCTAAGGACAAAAATAACACTTAAACAACAACAACCAAAGCAATTACGACGATGACCATAGTGGCGGCGGTGACAGACGATGGCGTACGCTAGGTGTTGAATGTAACATGGGCTATTTCTTCTTCTCACTACGAGTCGTTCTCCATTCAAGAAAAAAAAATGGCTGTAGTAAATCATGAGAGGGTCACAGAAAAGAAAGTGAAAAAATAAAAGAAGTGACCAGGGTTGAGGTACGGGCCATTAAAAGGAAAATATATCAAAACACTGATTCGTTATAGAGGGTTGGCCATACTGATTGACACAGTGGTAGTGTAATTAAAGAGCAAACGTCAAAGCTGGTAATAATCTCTGTATACACTCGAAAGAATCTCTCGTAGTTTTAAAATAAAACCTTAAACAAAATTAGGCATGTTTTTAGACGAATTAAAATTAAGGTAAACGAACAAGACATGTAAATATGACCCGTTTATGTAGGTTACGTAACAAATGAGTATAAATCGGGCAATCTTTTATTCCGTGCCGGAGAAATCGACATAGCAGGGTAATTTGATGAATAAAAGACGGAAAGCCACGCCGCGCGAAGCAGGGTTCAAAATATTGCTGAGTAATGAATGTAAGATGAGGACAACGTGCAAAAGAGTGCTTCATTTCGGCTAGGATCCCTTCCTTGTTTGAACATTTCTCAAGTGTAACCCTCAAGTTTGTGGCGACGAGACATATCTGCAGCAGCCAGACTACCAAGAGCAATGAGTCTAAGAGAAGCGAAAGCTGCCCGAGGCCTAAAGAGGGCGTCCCATTGGCAGCGAAATTAAAGCCCCTTTATATTGGGTCAAGGGGCTTTAAGCAAAATAACATTTAAAAAATGATACTCAGGTGTAGCCACGATGCGATGCACCCCTCTTGTCAATACATTGCACTAAAGCCAGGGGCTGAATGGACGTAAAACCTTGATGTTTTAACAATAAAGAACTAGAGCAAGGACACCAAGCCGTGCATATAGTACGCAGTCCTAATGCAGTGCAACATTACTCATTCCTCGTAATACGAATATTTTCTTTAGTAAGGTGAAATTTTGTTCTTATGTGTTCTGCAATGCTTCTTGGTGTCGTAATTCTAGGATACTATAAATGCATCATTAAACATGAAAAGAACTATCTGAGAGACACCTCATTAAAATCATTACGTTCTTTCGAAACGAAGTACAGAGCAACCCTTAAGAATAAATTACTTTAGCATGTTTCAATAACATGGGTATTCCCTGTTTCCGCATGGATAATGATTCATGAATCGTCCAGTGCTTGGTCCCGATTTACAAGTAAGGCATCAGAACGTGATAGGGGCTCCCGTACATTTATTTCATGTACTTTTTTATCTTTGGTATCATTGGTTTACGATTGCTTTGTTATTTAAAGTGTCCCGAGTTATTTAAAAACACGTTGTAATCAATGGTTCAGGCCTCTGGTATTATTGACATTGTTCGCATGCATCTATATTTTAAACGTTTAAGCACAGGCCTGTCCCATTTTTGCCCTATCGCTTGTAATTCGTCAAAAAAAGTTTTTGTAAGACCACATACATTAGGAAATGGTCATTCCTTTCATAACTTATTCGCCCTTCGGTTTCGAAAAAAAAATGTAACCTTCTCATTAGAGAAACCCTGTTTGTTACAATGTGCTTATTGGTAATTATTTTAGTACTTAAAGCTGAAGTATTCAGGCAAAGTGTGCATGTCGGATAAAGATATTTACTATATAAAGAAGTATATGGAAAATATTTTGTAAAACCACCGAGTACCTAAACAAACACTATGGCTTTTATGTTACGCTCTGCGAAGTTGATCTTGTTTTTTTTCTTAATATATGCGGAACAGTGGTAGGTATGTAAAAGCCGGCTTTTATATCATTACAATATTATGATAGAGAAAAAAGATGCACTATAGCAAGAAAAATAGAAAATATTGATAGAATACGAAAATAAAAACTAATGATCAGACGCCTAATGAACTACATCATTCAATGTCTTTCAGTTTCGCTTCAATCCGATATTCTACCCACTTGCGCTCGTAAGAGATGACACGGCAGAATAAGAAAAAATGCATGCAGTTTAAACCATTCTTCGTATTAGTACTTGTACAAATGACAATATTGTTGCTATAATGTAGTGCCAATAACGAGGACACGAAGAGTGGCTACAATAAAGGTTTACAATGTCGTAAGAAGAAAGGTATTTATGACGTAGCTTCAACTTACACTGCACGCTTTTACTTGATCACCGGCATATTTTGGTAAGAATAAAATATTCTTATAAATGGCAGATTTTTTTTCTGCGTACACTTAAGTGTCACTTGCAGCACGCAATGGCAATTATTAAGAAACAATTACATTTTTATACTCCTAATGTGCTAGTTGGCAGCGGGTACTTGTCTAGAAACTGAATACCTATCAAGGCTGTTTCAGGATGTCAAATTGGGAATTGTGTCAAATTACATAATATTAGTACACTCTATTTCAAGAAAATTGGGAAAGCTGTTGTGCCATCTAAGCCAATAAAAATGACAATGTAACGAATTAGAAAATATGACAAATACTGACGGTGAAAACAACGTGGGCACTCCGTATCTCAAAATAATGTTGTAACACAGACGAAGAAACGCTATACCTACGTTTCATCTCTTAATCGCACGTGTTTTCACGCTGTCAACATCATGTGAGAGCGAGAAGAAATACAGAGATAGCAAAGAACGTTTCATATTATTGGATGAACACCTAAGAGAACAATGTGGTTTTTCCTAAAGCACAATTGTGTTCTTAACGAGACCTTGTTATCACGCTCGAGTTCTAGAAATCAAATCTGGTTGACAAAAACTATGGAGACAGACAGACAGACAGACAGACAGACAGACAGACAGACCGACAGACAGACAGACAGACAGACAGACAGACAGAAAGCAGACAGACAGACAGACAGACAGACAGACAGGACAGACAGACAGACAGACAGACAGGACAGACGACAGACAGACAGACAGGACAGACAGACAGACAGACAGACAGACAGACAGACAGACAGACAGACAGACAGACAGACAGACAGACAGACAGACGATAGATAGATAGATATGATAGATGAGAGATAGATAGATAGGTATGATAGATAGATAGAATCGATCGGGCTTTAGCGGTCGTGCAGTAGGAGCATGTGGCAATAGCGGGTTTTTAAGAAAGAGGAAGCTGTTTTTACGGAGTTTAGACCACACGTAGCACGAACCGTTGGGCGTACATCATTTTGGTGCCTGACAGCTTTTTGCGTTCCCTTTTTCACTAATTGCGGTCCTGTTCAAGTCGTTTCACATCACTTGCTTTTCTCGGTCCTCATTTCGAAAGAAGTCCTCATCTTCAGATCAGGATTTCGATCATCGCAGTTCCTTCACACACCTACTGAAAGGAAGGCAGGACTTGATAACACAACAGAGCGAAGTTATAACAAGAGAGAGAGAGAGAGAGATGATTTGCCCTTCCATGTTCATAAGAGATACTGTTATTAGTGTAGAGGAAATGAGCGCGAGTTTCGGTCCAAGCTGCTCGTAGATCCGAGCCGAGCTTTGGGATGGAAGGGGTTTCTCTTGGCACCATTAGCGTTCATGTGAACTAAAACCTCTCGTTCGAAAGAGGCGTGCGAGAAAAAGTTTTCGACACCAATCAACTTCCTTTATGTAAGCCATGGCACAACTTTTGTCAACTTCGGCCTCAACGCGGCCGGGCAGCCCTCCTTCCCGTCTCCCGAGCTTTCTGGCTTTCCTTCGGGAGGACGCAAGAAAACAGGGATGAATGAACAGGCTCTGTCCGGCTCGACGTTCGCGTTGAGGCGCGCGCGCGCCGCGTTGAACCGCGACGGGAATGGAGAAGGGAAGCGATCGCAGCGCCTCACTCCTGCGAAGCCTGGACGCTTGCGTGCCTCCCGGTTCGGATACCCGGTCCGAGCGCACGAGTTTCTCAGTCCGCGTTTTGATTGGGCCACGCGCCGGCAGCTCCTGGCTGAAGTCGCCGTTCGCGCGCGCTCCTACCGTCGCCTTGCGCGCTTTGTGCTGCGCTGTCACCTCCGCCTGCGCTAAACAAACTTTGTTCAGCACTCCTCTGAGTGTGTTGCGACCGTTTTACACTCTGCCTTGTCCCCTCTTCCTGTCGCGTGTTGGTCTACGAGGAAATCGCGTTGATAAATGTGCATCGCATCAAGGACTTGGACTTGAAAACAAATACTCCGCCGGGACGCTGTCACTGACTTCGTTGTGACCGCAGTTTCACGGACAGCATTACGTCTTTAGCTTCAAGTCAAGAGAAGGGTGACCGGGAAAGGTGTAAACATAAACGTTAAGTTTTACTTCGTGCTCCTGACACATTCGCCGAGTAATACGACACTTGCTCGCGAACTGTGTTTATCGACGAACTTGAACCCTTCTACTGGCGCTCACTCTCGTTCATTTCGTGCTGCAGTGTGGCGAAGCATTTTCTTTTCTTCTTGCGAATAATCTTCTGGCTGTTCTTTGCGTAGCCCGAAGCAAGTTTTTCTGGTGTTTTACCATCATGCCGACACACCTTGGAGCATAAGCGGGAACCCGTGATAGTTTGTGCGTGTGCTCGGTACCAGTCGAACCATGCATCCGTCAGTGTCACTGGCGGATGCCAACACTTCTTCAACAACTGCGTCAGTCATCGATGAACACGAACGCTGTAGAGACTTGTACAGGGACGTAGTGAGCACCGATGCAGGTAAGTGGAAAGTTATTTATTTATTTAGTTACTTTAGTTCAAAGCACATTATTTCAGTCCTCAAGATAATATCTCACATAAAATTAATGCAGCAATTATTTTCTGATTGACCTGTGTCAATCAATATTGGTAGACTAAAAATATAACATGATAAGACAGATGCTTGGGCTAGTTGGGGATTGGGAATCAACATATTTACACAGCACAAGACTACGAATAGTTACGACATAACTACAGAAGAAGAGACAACGACAGAAAGAGCTCTGTGAGATAGTGTGGTGAACTTGGGACCCAAGCTTAACACACGCTGCACACAGTCCGGGATGGGCAGCGCTCTTTCTGTCCTTGTCTCTTCTTCTGTAGTTATGTCGTAACTACTTGTAGTTTTGCGCTGTGCAAATAGACTAAAAGTGCCTAAGCTGTGAGCGGCAGGAACGACTGTCCTAAGAAGGATAATGGCAAGTCTACCACGGTTTTAAGGGTTGTGTCTGTATATTATTTTTGGCTGTTTCGGAATTAAGAAAATTGTAGGCAAAAAAAGTGGCCCAGCTCTAAAAGCCCATTACTCAGAACCAAGAACATTCCGAATACAGTGCGCTGAAATAAAATTTGTTGTCCTACCAGGGGAAACTGGTAGAGCGACACCGATCAGTCGAAGTGGCAGAGCTCATAATTATTCGCAATTAATAAGAAGGGCGAACTGAGGGAGTTGGTATTAATTTATGACGAGAACTTAGATTGGTGTCTCTATCGTCTTTCATTGTCCTATTTTCTTTAGTCATGTTTGTCTCGTTTTTAGGGATAGAGTTCTTACGCAAATGATTTTGGTATCGTCGAGTTTGCGAAAATTGTGTTACGATGCTGAACGCACTGAAGAAATACCCCCAGAAAAACTTGGGGGTTTAGTTGCATAATTGAGCAAAAAGACGATGCCTAAAGTTTTAGAGACCATGCCATTCACGCCAAGTATCGAAGTCCAGGAAGCAGTTTATCCAGTGCAGGTATCCGTATTTGCTTTCAGAATTCACGTGTGTGTCTGCGTGTGTTACTTTCCACATTTGGACCACTTACTTTGGTGGTCTAAAAATATTTACATTGTGTACTATTCATTTTAGAACGCTCATAAGCATTTTTTTATTTCTCGTTGTAATAATCAGAAGAAGAATGCTTTGAGGGGCTGGTCTCTTCATTAGTGTAATTATGACGGGAATGAAAATTGATCATAATGAACGAAATAACAATTTACTGTTGGTGAGGAATGAATCCGAAACATTTAAATATGATGGATTGTTAAAGATGCAGTGTAGCAAAGTTCAGGTACCTGGAAGGCGCTTTGCACCCGTGTTGAGTTTGGGATGCATGGCGTGGTGGTCGGACGAAATGAAACCATTTCAGTCGACCCCCGTGTACCGCCCGAGCGATCCTGGAGACCTAAGGTGTTGCAGGTAACGAGGGCCGTTCGGCATGGTAATACTAATATAAAGGGTGTTACGTCCTATGGAAAACCCTGATGTGAGTATGAGTGAGACCTTAATAGAGGGCTCTGACTATTTTTGCACCATCTGCAGTTTTTTAGTGTGCACCAACTTCGTACACTTCACGGGTCTCTATAACGTTTCACGTTATAGAGACCCGTTATAGAGACCCGGTTTTGCTGAATTATAGAGACCCGGTTTTGCTGAGTTATAGAGAGCCCCGCCGCGGTGGTCTAGTGGCTAAGGTACTCGGCTGCTGACCCGCAGGTCGCGGGTTCATATCCCGGCTGCGGCGGCTGCATTTCCGATGGAGGCGGAAATGTCGAGGCCCGTGTGCTCAGATTTGGGTGCACGTTAAAGAACCCCAGGTGGTCAAAATTTCCGGAGCCCTCCAGACCCGTTATAGAGACCCGGTTTTGCTGAATTATAGAGACCCGGTTTTGCTGAGTCTACCGTAGTGGGGATAGAACCCACAAGCTTAGGGTTGCGGGTTTGATTTCCATTACGGTAGACTCAGCAAAACCTTTTCAGTAGACCCCACTTACGAAAAGTAGGACACTGGAAACTTGAGGTTGTGCAAAAACTGAGAGCCGTTCAGGGTTGTATGGACTGAAATATGCAATTACACAATCATATATTGTAGGTTTACTTAAGAAGTACGCTGGGTTTAGAACGAACTCAAATGGCAATCCTAAATTGGTTCGGAAATAATGCAACTTAAGCTATTCCATACGTAACTACTGCATTAAGGCCACATATAGTATTAAAAGTCACAAAACGAAAAAAAAATAAAGTGCATGTTTGAGTGGTTGCGAGTGCATCCGATCGAAATTTACGTAACTCCCGAAGCTGATTTACGAAAGGCTACCCAAAATTTTTTTTTCGAATCCAGGCTTATACTGTCCAATTCACTCGTCTATTTTGAGCGCCTCGTAGCGTGGGTGCTGTTACCTCAAAACCCTGTCACGGGGACATCAAACAAATTGGTAGCTGCTGACTCGGCGAGTTTGTGCATGATGAAATGATATTGGTGTAGCGCAGCTCAGTTTGAGCGTGAAGAAAAGATGCTTTACAGTGAAGAAGGGGAAAAAACAGACGGATGTATGAGCGCTCATACTGTCGTCTGTTTTTTCCCCTTGTTGATCACATAACATCTTTTCTTAACGCTCAAACAGAGGTGCGCTAAAGCAATATCATTTTAAAGTGGTAGCTTTCGGCGGCATGATGGGATTTCACAAATTCATGAATAGGGCCCCGCCTCTGTGATTTACAGTTAAAGGTCGATCTAAAAAAAACCGTATTTTACGAAGTTCTTGATCTACCGTAGAAATTTCTACCTCCTGGCCGGTGCCTATGTTTAAACGTGGTCAAGAGCTCAAATGAATAGAACAAATTTACCTCCAAACTCAATTTAGCAGTATTTTTGTTTTATATATTGGTATATTTCTTATATATTAAGAGGTGGGTTTTTTGTCGAGAAGGTGCTCTAATACCATCGAGATAAAGCGCGCAGTCGCCTCCCAGGCACAACTCAACCCAAGCTTTCGTTTGACGAGGTTGTATCACGTGCACTCGATCCCAAAACAATGGGGTCAGCAATGGACAGCGCTCACGCGTAGAAAATGGTGCTCATGATGGGGTTGTCTTATTGTCCTACAGGAACAGAACGCTGATTGCAGTCGTTGTTTCAATCTTTACGCGAAACATCGCATGGATACTTTCTCCGCAACTTCCGAGACCGTCCACCAGCTCACACAATCGCTGTTGTCACTTTCATAGTCTTAATTCGTCAGCCAACTGATATAGCTTGGCAGGACATGATCTGCATTGACCTGGCTTTTAATTTAATTTATTTACAGATGTGGCGAAGTGATACCTGCTCTTAGTAGGGTGGGTGTACATGAAATGTACAGTCATTGGCAATCTTTACGTGAACGATCCGTGGCGTGTACTGAAACAGCTTAATGGATGCTACCATCGCGTAGCATTGGGATATGTTGACGAGATGTTACCCATGCATGCCGGCGTCCCATCCAGCCATAACGAGGTATCATCTCGGCAGCAGTCTCACGTGCTTCGCGGCTGACGTAGGTCAAAGTGGCCCAGGTCCCGTGTGAGAGCGTTCGTGCTAAGCTTGCTGACAGCTGTACAAGTGATTAAACACATACAAGAATGTTGGAGACTGCTTTCTTCGTTCGACACAACTTTTATAGAATTTAATGAAGTAATTCCAGCGTGGTTGTCAGCTTGATTATATTTTTGTTGGTGCTTTACGTCCCGAAATCACGACATGGTTATGGTCGAGCTACATGCCGCAGTGGTGGGTTTCAAAAATGTAGCGTTTTTTTTTTTTAACATGCACCTCAATCGAAAAACACGGGCCTTTATGTCATTCCTTCGTCAAAGTAAAAGTTTCAGGTTCATTTAAAGCACGAGCTGCTGTGTCTATAAAAGCTGCACTAGGACACAAATATCTTGTTCTTGTTCCCCTATTATCCGTGGCGCATACCCACTGGGGAACATTGGCAAAGAATCGAGTGGTTTTATAAAATATAGTGTAGTTTTAGAATACTGGAGAATTTAGAATAGAACGATTACCGATGACCTAGGAAATCGTGGTGCTTGATCTAATGCATATGATTATTTAAATAAAGAAAAGAGTTTATTCCTAAAAGAGAGCAATATTCTACTTTTTATACGTATATAATCTTGTAGACGCGTTAGAATAATACAGATTATTTGTCAACCTATTAATTTCATTAATATAGTCCCGGAAGGCCGTGCAATCTGTCGCACTAGAGAACCCAGAAATGGAAGCTCCAAAAGACAGAATGACTGGCACTGATAAATCCATACCAATACATTTCGACGCTTTTTTTTTTCGCCTGCTTCTCCTTCTGTGTAGGCTCATACCCAATGCAGGGGATTGGCCGACAGGAGGTGAATTTTTTCGATGTTTGCTTTAGTATAGTATTAGTTGTAGCTATAAGCTACAACTAATAATTATAGCGAGTTTAAGTACGAATTAATATTGATGGTATATTTGAAAGACGGAAAGTTTAGCCAGATATTTTTTTAGGCTGGTTGATAAATTCCTCAACGGCAATGAGAACATCCTTGCGATTCCTCTAATGCTTTAGCTTTCTTCCTATTTTTCCTCATCTTTCATCTTCCCCTTACTTCCGCGACGCTGCGCCTTGCTTCCTTTTGTGCTGTGGAAGTAAGCGCCACTTCGTTTTCTTAACTAATAATAATAATAATAATAATAATAATAATAATAATAATAATAATAATAATAATAATAATAATAATAATAATAATAATAATAATAATAATAATAATAATAATAATAATAATAATAATAATAATAATAATATTAATAATAATAATAATAATAATAATAATAATAGTAGTGCTAACACAAAAAGTAACCTACGCTTTCTTGGCCGATTCCCCTGAGTGGGTATGAGCCATTATTTTAAGGAAACAAACAAACAAACAAACAATTGTACTATTCCTCTAGGT